CCTGTGCTTCATTTCTGTGGCAATGGACTTTAATAAATTATACAAATATACAAATTAATACGAAAAGAAATTATTCATTAAATTTTAAACCAAAAAAAAAAAAAAAAGAGAAAAAGCTTTAAATCAAAATTACAAGTAAAGAAAAAAGAAAAAAAAAAAAGAATATGGTAACAAAGAAAGATAAACTTGCGTGTAAAAATATAATATAACATAATGAAATTAATTATAATGTGTGTGTGTTACTAAACTTACCAAACGCGAGCGCACCCTTTTTGGCATATCTTCTTGTAAACTATAAATATCGTTACGTTTTAAGGCAAGTTGAGAACCATCTTCGAAAATTACCTAAACAAAAGTAATAAACATACATTTGTAAAAAAAAAAAAAAAAAATACAAATAAAATTAATATTACACCGTGAATGTAATTATACTGTATAATATATACACACTGTCATACAGTATAAAGTATGTAATATACTGTATAACAAATATATATAGATATAATATACTGTATAATATATAAACTGTCATACAGTATATACATACTATATATATACTGTATAACATACATATATAGTATGTAATATACTGTATAACATATACATAGTATGTAATATACTGTATAACATATATATATAGATATAATATACTGTATAATATATAAACTGTTATACAGTATATACATACTATATATATATATATATATATATATACTGTATAACATACATATGTAGTATGTAATATACTGTATAACAAATATATATAGATATAATATACTGTATAATATATAAACTGTCATACAGTATATACATACTATATATATTCTGTATAACATACATATATAGTATGTAATATACTGTATAACATATATATAGTATGTAATATACTGTATAACATATATATATAGATGTAATATACTGTACAATATATACTGTTATACAGTATATACATACTATATATATATATATATATACTGTATAACATACATATATAGTATGTAATATACTGTATAACAAATATATATATAGATATAATATACTGTATAATACATAAATTGTCATACAGTATATACATACTATATATATACATACTGTATAATATACATATATAGTATGTAATATACTGTATAACAGTATATATTGTACAGTATACAGTATGTATATACTGTATAACATATATATATATATATATATAGTACGTAATATACTGTATAATATATATATATATAGAGTATGTAATATACTGTATAATACACTGTTTATTGCAATACATTTGAATATGATAATCTGTAATACTCACGGTGTACATAATTTGATGATTAGTGCCCTCAAAAGTACCATCGTAGACTTCACCGTCTGTCCAATTAACTGTAACAGCTGCATCAATCTGTGGTGGTTTACCAGGATCGTAATTCTAAATAATAACATTATTATTTAGTAATATATAATTAAAAAATAATGTATATTAATATTGTTGAAGTACTCACAATTATATCAGATGGATATAGATCATCGCTAAAACTATTGTCGCTGAAGGTGACCATATAGAAAAGAGTATCTTTTATAGATTCAACTTTAGCTTTGTAATATCTTGAATTCCTATGTTTTGCCCATACTGTTTCACCTTGACGTATAACAGGTATTTTTTCTTTACCGTCATCGTGACCATGACACGTCACCTAGAAACACACACACACACACAACAACAATATTGTTTTATCATTTATTCTTAAATATTTGATCTTAATAAATAAACATCATAATATTTCATTATTTTTACCTGTAATTCTTGACTATTGTATAACGGTATTGCAAAAGTAGCACCTGCGACAAGTCCACATGATGCATGAAATTGATTATCGCATTCGTTGCAACTAAGGCAAGCTCCATCGTTGTATCGACAATAACAACATTTTTGTTTTAATACATTCTTTCTAATTGTTAATACATTAATGGGATCTTTATTAATAGCATCCTTAAAAGTTACTCCTGGTAATAATAAAGCGCACAAAATGTGTGCCCAACCGCCATCACTCGTGCGTTTAACAGCACCCCCTCGCATCGGACATAAACAACACATCTGTTTAATAATAAAGAATTAACAATTAATACTGTATTTCTTTCTTTTTTCTCAATATATATAAAAGATTGAACATACGTACCACGTCAGATTTACCAGCTTTACATTTATCGCATGCCCAATTGGATGGGTCAGTTGGTAACATGGTAATTCCATAACAGGAAGCATGAACTGTTACGTGACATTCACGACATCTCAATATTTTAGAATTCTCTGATTCTACAGCTTGTTCCTTTGAATTTACAGCAAATATAGTTGACGATACCTAATCCAGATATAAGAAAAATATTATATAAAATAATGATTTTTTTTTTTGTATAAAATTAAACTAATTATATGAAAATATTCTACTTACCCATATTGGAGAACTTTCAGGTAAAATAGTAGGTTTACAATACTTCCAATCGGGTGGCATTACTTGACTATTTCCATAACGAGTGGAAGCAAAAGTTGCACAAATTGCACAATGGGAAACTTGCGCGCTCCAATAATCATTGTAAGCTTTCATCATGTCGCTACTTGGAATATTTGGATTTAACATATCAGAAATATGACCTGGTATCATTAAAGCAGGATACGAACTTGAAGAACCTTTTTCTTCAGAGTTCAAAGATATGACAGTCGATTGTGCATTTTGTTTTTTCCTTGTAGTTGCTTTTTTAAGCTTCTCTTTTGGTTTCCTTCTAACTACTGGTGGTTTAATTGGCTTCAATTCTGGCATTGTCAAATGTCTATTGTTAGAATTTTGCTCTAAATTTGGCCATTGAGTTTTTGATACATTGACGTATTTGTTATCTTCTTGCTTTATCATATTTATGGTAAGATCTCTTTGATGATAATTTTGTATATTGTTCAAATGATAATTAGTATTATATGACATATTATTAGATTCAATTTTATTCATCTTATTCATCAATGTACCTGCAGCAGCAGCAGCAGCAGTAGCAACAACATTACCTTGTCTTACTTCTAAATTAGCCATATCATCGATATTCTTTACTGTACAACTAAGTAATGATTTTGTACTTGTATGTTGTTGTTGTTGCTGTTGTTGTTGTTGTTGTTTCATTTGACTTCTACATATTCCTTGATCGTTTTCAAGTTTTCGAATAATTAAAGAATTTTTCGGAACTATTTTTTCTGGTGCTGGCAATATTCTCGTCAAGGATGCCATACTATTGGATATATTATCATTATTATCTTGTAAAGTAGTGTTATTTGTTTCCATCGTGTTTAATTGAATTGGAGAAGTCAAAGTAAGTTTTGAACATTGTGCAATATTAGGAGATCCAGCAGTTAATAAGACCTTATTCGAGTCGAATTTTTTTAACGTAGTTAGAGTTGCAGTAGTTGTAGGACCTATTTGAATATTAGTGCAAGCATTTAATAAACCACTTCTTTTAGCATTAGCTAGAGATAATTGAAGTGATTTATTATTGTAATTCTGACTTGATAAGAAAACACTATTATTGCAAGGAATTTGCCATAAATTATTTTTCGTCATTTCTTTATTATTAATTGATTTCAATTCGATACCCTTCTTTAAGCTGACATTATTCTGATTAAGCGGTTTAGGTAAAATTGCAGCAGTCTTTGGAAAATAATTACACATTACGGCATTATTTTTCTTTTGAATGGCAAACGTCGTCGAAGGTGTTAAAACATCAATATCATTTTTCTTTTCTAATGTAGTAGATTCTCTGCCAGTAACTTCATTTTCTAATATTGGCGGATCATTGTTTGTGGATGTATTAGGCAAAAACATAATGCGTTTGGTATCTTGCGTTTCTTCTTTAGGTAACATCATCAAATTAGGAGCCAAACGAAGCCCTTTATCTGCATCATCAAGTTCTACTTTTGATATCACTTTGGTATTAGATAAATCTAAATGCATGAGTTTAGGTGCCTTTATGATATCTTTTCTCGCATAACTTGTAATACATCTTTCAGTTTGTACCATTCCAATGCTTTTATAAGATGTACTACCACCAACTGGCTTGATATCTTGAGTATATATTTTCGAATCTTCGTTTAATGTCTTCTTGTTATCTTCCATTTGCTTACTAGATAGAGCATTATTTTTCAATAAATTTACATTAGGGAATGTAGATTTGTAAACATGCTTTTTATTTGGCTTTTTGGAAGTCTTCAAGAAAGGATTTTGTTGTTTATCATGCACGTCTACGGTTATAGTTCCTTCTACTTGTTGTTTGTCATCGTCATAAGATGGATGCATTATTTGTCCACTATTAGTAATATTTACTACAGTTTTATCTTTCATGGTAGTCATACTAAATTCATTTCCAACGGATATAATATTACCTGGTAAAAGATTGATCTTTCTTTGATTATTAGATATATCTTTCATTGTATATGTTTTATATGGGCTAAGACTTGGCATTGCTATTAGTTTACGTTGAACATCTGCATCAGAAACATCTAATGGTTCGTTTTGAATAAACAATGGAGGTATATTCGTATGTTTACCCTTTCCTTTAGAAAGTGATTTTTGTTTCATCTTATACTCCGGAGTCTTGGAATGTTTTTTCTTTTTCTTAGTAGACGACTTATCAGTAGTATCTACAAAACTAGCAGATTCTTCCATTGACAATTGAGATATCAACGTATTACTATTACTTTCAGATGAAACATTTTCATTGGTCAGAAGTAAAGGATCAGTTTGATTTAATAAATTTTGTTGATCGATTGTTTCTTGATCAATTGCAGACATTTCTTCTTGTTCCAATTTAATGGATACAATTTGATCATCTGATCGTTTTGGACTTACCATTTTAACTGAATTTTTCTTTGATTTGTGATGTTCCTTCTTCTCAGTACTATTTTGCTTTCTCTTTCTTTTTCTACCTTTTTTACGATTATAACCATCGTCATAAACGGTCGCTTCATTGACATCCATTTCACCTGCCTTAAGCCAAATATCTTCCAATACTTCCAATTGTTGTTCATCAGGTTGATCATCACCCTCCTCGTATTCTAAATCTTGCAAAGCTTTCTTTAAATCAGCTGGAATATCTGAACGATTAACTAAATCTACCATATCATCTGTATTGGTACCAATGATATTCTTTTTCTTATGAATGGTATGCCTTTTGTTTTTAGGAGCAGCATTCAAATAACTTTGTGGTAATTGTCCATTACTAGTGTTACTACATAACAAATCCATTTGAGATGGCATTGGTGCTGCTGTTTGTCTAGGATCCTCTGGATGTGGACCGATATCTTCACCACGTAACCACAATTCATATCTTTCTGGTTGAAAACGTTTGACAAATGTATCCATTGATATTTTGACCATATCTTTGCTGCACGTACATTGGGTCGCTCTTTTACCATACTCTACCCACCTAGGTGCAGCAAAATTAGTTGATTCAGCACAATTGAAACCGTGATTAAAACCAGCATGATATCCATAAGGAAACGTTATCATTATCTCTCCTGCTTCTTGCGTTATCTTATTACAAGGAATAGAATATTGTTTCAAAATTTGCGGCGATATTAATGACATTTTGTGACGTAAAAATGCTTGACAACTTTGATAACTAGATGGGAAAAAGCCACTAGCCAATCTTTCCAATCTACGACCATGCTCAGGTGGTATAGCATACCAAGTTTTTGGTGCACCGAAATGCAAATAATTAATCGAATAAAGATCCATATCTTCGGTATGCCATGCGAATGTTGTCTTCCACATACCAAAGTATAAATATGCAGTATTAACACCATCTATAGATATACCATAATCCTTATTTACGTAATCTAATATTGTTCCTAAATGATTGATATTCCATTCTTTGACATCAGGATCAGTCAAAGAACCAGATACATCTGCTCCATATATGGGAGCTACATATGTTATATTTTTCCAATATTTTCTCTCCAAATCCTCGTAATCAAAATGTCGTGGTGTAATGTAACGATCAGAATTTGCTAATTTGCTATATTCTTGGACCGTCATTGATTTCTTTTGTATATTAATTTGTTGATAAAGACCTTGCTTTCCGGTAACAACTTGACATATTGGTGCAGGTATACTAAGTTCTAAAGTATCCAAATCATAACCTCTTTTTCTTGGAACCCATTCAGGTGGTGGAATAACTTTGGCCAATCCAGCTTTATGGGCTCCTTTACTTTCCATATATTCAATATAGCTGGTGAAATTTTTAAATTCATCGTACGTCGGTCGAAATACTTGAATACGTGGTTGTGTTTTATTAATCGACTTTGTTTTATTTGCCATCGTGTTTATTTTTAATATTTAAACCTACAATTTGTAAATCACAAAGAGAGGTTAGAATATATAATAATAACGTTAAATTACATTTCTTTAATAATAATGCATTAACAAATTAACGTATACATTTGCAAGACAATAAATAATGTATTATATGTATCATATGTATATATGATGCACGTGTGATATGTGTTTATATGCCATATATATATATGTATATACATAACGCATTCACGCGCTTATTACTCACGCACACGCAAACGCACATGTGTTGTGTGTGTCTCTGTGTGAGTGAGTGTGTATTATATGATATAATTCAATAATATATATATATATATATATATATACATACATGCAGAAAAATATTTATCATCCAACCATACGGAATATTGCACACAGAGTTAATATGTTAAATGATAAAAAAAAGAAAATGCACACTTTAAAAACTCACATGACGACGATTACATTTCCGTAGAAAAAAAAATAAAAATAAAAAATATATAAAACAGATGTGATGTGAAAAAAGGACAAAAAAAAATATATATATATATATACTAATATTATATCAATTGAATAAAAAGAAGAAGAAGAAAAAATGATACAAGGAAAAACACGATAGATCGAGAGAAGAACATCCCTCTCTCTCTCCCTCTACTCCATTGATCGATTTGTTAAAAAAAGAAAGAAAGAGACAAAAAAAAAAATAAAATAAAAATACAATTATAAATAGGTCGACAAGAGTGTGGTTATGTGTTATTAAAAAAAGAAAAAAAAAATGAAATAAAAATTAACACGATTAACTGTTATTCATTGACATAATATTTATAACGTTGTAATATTTTTAAGTGGACACACAAAAAAAGGTGTTTTCCGGGGACGAAACGTGGGAGAGGCGTTCGTAAACAAAATGGATGAAGGATACCTGTTTCGTTTGAGCATTAATATCTTCTATCAAGTCCATTAATGAAAAGATTAAAGTTGAACAAATGTAATCCAATCGATCAGCATCTCCCATCGGATTTATCTCGACGATCGTTTGTTTCAAGGTAGATCATCAATGCGATATATATTATTTTCCTTTTTGAATGTTGTGTGTGTCGAATTTTTCACGTCGAGAACGTTCACTCAATTCTTCTATACACTTTTTATATTTCTATATAACATTGTAAACGAATTGATTCAATTTAATATAATACGACAATGGATATAATCATCGATAGAAATTAATCAACGCGAAATAATGAATAAACAAATATCACCTTTTTCTTTTTCCACTAATTGTAAAACACCATGTTAAATAATAAAGTTACTCTCGTATGGGGGCACTTAGATTTGACAACACCGCTATCCTACACCTTACGGCGTCGTAGATGGCAATACAGTTGGCATGCGTGATTGCATCCTATGTGATGATGCATCGTGAAGTTGGCGTTGATGCTTGAAATGAGATATCTGCGCAGCTTTACAATGTGGCGGCAAATTTGAATATCTTTATTTAGTCACGCACGCATTTTTCTTTATATTCAAACGATATTAGTACAATTATTTTACATTATAAATTATATTTTATGATTAATAATGATAACCTAAAACTGCTTGTTACTTTAGTCGAAGTTTTTTTGTGTTTTTTTTTGTTTTTTTTTTATAATAATTTGTAAAATTATTATTTATAACATTAAATAATATTATTTATTAATAAATCATATAATTCTTTTTTTTTTCGTTTTCTTTAAAATGAAAAGAAAAGATTTATTATTATATTTGTTATCATTTAAATTAATTCTAATTTCAAAATTTGTCAATGCGATGAAATTTTGATAGAAAAACAAAAAAAGGTTATTACATTGTTGCAATGCTATTCAATCAAATCTTTTCTTTATCTTATACCTGACATAGCAAACGATAAGTTGAGACAAGAAGTAAAGTATTTTTTAAAGTATGTCTTGATAAAGACATACTTAAAGCTCATCATCAAATCAAGATCAACATACTAATACTGTAGATTGACGCATACTTATATATATATATATACATATATATTAATACCAATACAAATCTGACAGACATATATCTAAAGCAATAAGCCTTAAATAAAGAAACTTCAGCAATGATACAATTAATCCTTTTTTTTTTTTCTTTTGTAATTTACAGTACGTTGATAATTACTTTCTTTCTTTATTTTTTTTTTTATTCTTATCACTCATCAACCTAGACAGCTAAATTATTTATCTACTTTTAAACGAATGGAATATGAATAATATTGATACTCGTCTGACTACTTTCCAACATTGCATCCGGTATTTTGCAAATCGTTTACTAATTTATTTTCTCCTTCTCTCTCTCTCTCTCTCTCTCTCTCTCCTTCTCTAGTAATATAAATCTCATTCAACATGAATGATCATTTAGAAAGGTACGTTGTTATAAATATAATGTACCAAACGTACCAGATCTATACTGTTAAACATTATTCAGTAATCAGTCAAGTTTTTTTCCTTCAAATTTTTCATTAATAATCTAATGGAGTAAACAATTATCTTGTATCTTTTTTTTTTTATATTGCCTGTACAAATTGAAAATAATCTTATTATTTCAAATTCATTAAATAATACAGAATAATATATATATATAATGTATAATAATATTGTTCATAAGTATTCAGTATTAATATATATATATATATATATATATATATATATATATATATATACATATTTATAAAAGTAAGGGCGGGAAAAAAGATAATGTTTGAAAATTGTCAAATTAGAAACAAAATACAATATTTCGAATTCATTAAATA